GTCGGAATTCTGACTTACTAAGTCGGAATTCTGAGATACTAAGTCGCAATTCTGAGATACCATAGCGCGTTTTTTTTTTACTCCCTGGCGGAAACGGGCTTCCATACTTTTCACCTTTTATTCAGAATTGTTATTTTTTTTACTTTTTGAATTTGAATTATAGTAACTTCACAAAACGTGAGTCAGAAAAACATAGGCAAATGTTTGCTTAAGCCTTTACATTTTTTCATAATGCATAATTGGCCTTAGGCTACGTCTCTATGCAACATTCAAAACTAAGCTTGCCTGAGCAGGGCAGGGAGACAGAAAGCTCTGCTCCTCCTCCTTTGAAGAGGAAAATAGGCAAAGGTGAAGGGAGGCAGTTCGGACAGGCAGCAAGAGTGATGGCTGGAGAGAGCTTTAAAAGCTCTCCTTTGCCATGGGTTGGATGTATTTACTTATGAATTAACAGCTGTGTGTGTGATGTGGTGAAAGGGGAGGGGAACTGCCATGGCTGCTCTCCTGTGTTCTGTGCTGTGTGCTACAGTATGGGAGAAAACTGGGCCTCCACCCTAAGCTTTTTATCCACAGAGCCTGTATTATACACTGCCATAAGCTTATGGCTCTAATCTCTACAATATAAAAAAGATCAAGTGTTGTACAAGAAAATGGAAAAAAATATACAGGTTTTGATTTTTTTTAAGTAAATGTTTTTGGGTTTTGATTAATTGATCATTTGTTTCATGAATGACTGCAATACTCTCATCTGACCTTGACTATTGTGCAAACCCTAAATCACCAGGCTGGGGAGACACCTGTTGAATGCCGTGCCTGCTTAAAACCGAGATAGACACGAACCTCAACGGCCTGCATATCAAGGAGAACTCAGCAACAAGGAAATCTTTAGTGATAAATTCAGGTTTTGTGTACTGTAGATCACACTAACACATGCCTGTGAAAGTGGAACACATTTGCGGAATCATTAGCTAATTGTTGATCAAACTGTGAGTTTCCAAGAGCGATAGTTTGTGCAGGTGTGAGACCAATGAACAGGCACATTCTTGTCCTGGTCCTACAAGAGGAAGAGGTCAGTAACACAAGTCCACATCTGTAACCTGCTAAAACATACAGCGCAGGTGAACAGTTTCTTAACCCGTGATTTTCATAGTGATCAACCTGACTATTGACTATAAACATTAATCGGCATAATAAATGTATCTGTGTTGTGTCTGTTCCATAAAATATCAAAACATATGCTAGTAAACATGCATTGGCATTTTCCTGATAACCATGTGATTATTTAATTTGATGTTTAGTCGATTTAAAACAAATATCTTCCTTCTTTGAAAAGAACACAAAAATAAAAGGATGCAGTGGTTTAGTAAGTATATTTCATTGCACAAATACTGCTTGTGGGAATTGACAAAGATTTATAAATCTGATCAGAGCTGCCACTTTGGTTTATAGGCAGGGGAATGATTGTGAAAACACTGAAGTTAGACTACCAGCCTTGAAACACGTACACAAGTCCCTGCAGGACAGAAAGCCACATCAGGGTCACCGCATTTGCTGATGGGATTTAGAGGGATGTTTGTGGTTTATTTAATATTTGTTTCATTGCGGTGCCATGTCTGGTCAGGCAAAAAGATACAGTCTTTACAGATTTTGATTAATGTTTGTGATTCTGAATAAAAAAAAAATCGCTTTCAAAATAAAAACTGTTCGTGTCTGGTCCTTTGAAATGACATTTCTTTCTCATCCCTCAGAGAGGGCAAAACAGTGACAGATGAAGAAAAGGCTCATGAACAATGCTTGCTGTGGGATCTGTCCCCCCTGGGGTGAGTTCACTAACCACACTCTTCATCTGCACAGGGGCTGAAGTGAAAACAAGCCCAGCCACCTTCTTACAACATCTGGGCTGATGTTTTTTCCTTATCTGAATGTTATACAGCTCAGCCAAATCGGGTAATTTCAATATAACACGTGATAGTTATTAAAGTGCTGTCGCGCAGAATACTGTGTTTAATGTGGTAGTAAGCTTTAGATGTGTGCCAATACTCACTGGTTCTGGGCATAATATGTAGCACTTTCCCAGGAGGTAAATCCTACTCAAGCCTTAATTCGGTACTTTAAAATAATAACTGAAGAAGCATCTGAAGCAACAGTGTACAGTGAATCACAGCTGCCATCTTTTCATCTTAGATTCACATTCCCTCAGGCTTGGGGTGCATCTAAATACACAGGAGGGCTCAGCCATACCTCGCCCCGATCCTCACACGCCACATTATCGTATTGTGTGAGTTACTGTCAGAGCCTCCATACAATGTGTGCAGCTCGTATTCACATGTAATCTCCCCCTTTCCATCATGAACTGCTCAGAATGGATCATCTCTATCTCTTTTAAAGCTCAGTGTTCTGCATGTGAGAGTGCCATATGTGCTAGTGTTACGATATGGCTGAAGTATTATTACGTCTTTCGCTGAAACATAGTTACAGTTACCGTGACAGATCCTTCAGTGGTGCTATTACACCATGAGTAACTCCAGATCATGCTGCACTGACCAGCACAAGAGCTTAGAAGCTGCATGAATCTCTGGAGCTAGCAAAACTCCTGCCTATCCCAGTTCGGACAGGAGGCAGAGTCACACAAATACAATGGTTCTTGAACACCACAGACTATTTATAAATGCTTCATTTGCCTTTGGCTATGCCTTGAGGCTTCCCTGCCCTTTAAGCAACCTAGTGCTCCATTTTCCTGGTTGACCACTGGCAAAACCTTAGCAAGGCGGCAGCAAACTGTCTGACCTTTCAGAAGGGTCGAGGAAGCAGCAGCAGGCTGGGGAGTAGAAAGCACATTCAAATACATACAAAGACCGATAATAGTCATAGCCCTGAAAACCATTTCCTTCCACTTCCACATTCATTATTGGTTGAATGTACTTATTGCATGGGTGCTCGTGATACTATGAGCTGAGAGGATGTAATTGTCATGTAGATTTCATTGGGTGCAGAGTGCTGGTGGTCCCAGGTGCCATCTTTAAGGCTTTAATCAGTGGCCAAAGAAGGGGTCACACTGGAGTCTTGCCAGCCAAGATGGGGAACCCCACCAAAAAAAGGCTCTGTACCATGATGTTGACTTACTATTTGTGCCACTTCCTCCTACAGTTACAGCTGTTCCCTGCATCTTTAATTATCTCATTATGGAAAAGTGGTGCTCCTT